TGTGGCGATATGGAACCCAAACCCCAACCCCAACCACCCCCCCCCCCCCCCCAAAAAAAAAAAAGAAAGAAAAAAGAAAAGCTCTTTGCTGGCAGCAGGAAGGATCAGACGCAACCATCCGAAATGTCCCCGCCTTCCCAGTCGAAGGATTCGGAATCTTTATCCGTGCAGGCCTATCAGGATTATCGTCCGTAACACCGACTTCGAGGAAGAGAGCCCAAAAATGGCAACATTGACCAACAAGGTAGGTAGGTAGCTTTGCTGTCATCAGCTGGACAGAGAAGAGAGGATCTTCCATCCCCTGTCAGTCAGCTAGGCTCGGGTTACACGAGGGATTATGTCAACACAACACCGAGCTTATGCCATTTCCTTGTAAGCGAGGCGGTGGTGGCAGGGACGAGGATGGATCGTGGATCCCTCCCGGCAGGCAGACATTCTGCTTAAAGGTGGGCTTTGAGGTCACTGGTGGTGGTGGTGGTGGATATAAACACTGGGCAGCATGGTCCGGATCACATAAGGATAGGGCTCGTGTCTCGCACGAGCCTGCGGCGCTATTGGTGTCTGAGGTTGGGAAAAAGATTCCCGGTGTTGCAAGACAAGTTCAAAGATGGAAAGAATACCCGACAGAACACAACACAATTTGCAGATATCAAGCACATGTTTTTGGGGTTCGGAAGATTGTAAAAGGAAAGGTTTTCGGTGTCTCGGTTGATTACCATTATCTGCTTGTGTCTCAAACTATCCTTGCTGGGATGTAAAACTGACAGGCTGTGTTCTTACGCTTTGGACATACTCGGAACGAGTTGTTTGTGTAACCTTTTCAAAGGATACATTACAAACCTCGTTCCTCACTTGAATTCAACGTCTCACAAACCCTTTTCCTCTCACGAATAAACGCGGGGGCGTTTATGACAGCACAAGGGGCGCCAACCTTCGAACAAACGTCACTATCTCCTTGCTGTAAGTGGGCGATGATCTCTGATCTGCTTTCCCCCTCCAACCCTGACCAGCAGAACACCACACAAAACCTGGCTCTCCCGCATGGTTGATCTTGGGGATGACAGATTGACGCGGCGTGGCGGCACAGCTTGGACACACACCCACCTACATACATACATACATACATACATACACACAGGCAAGACAGACAGGGTTTTGGTTGTGTAACCAATATGTATCTGCACGGTTTCCTTCGCAAGACCATGTCGATGAGGCTATTCCGGAACGAAATAGGATTAAGGCCGCATACCTAGACCGACCTACCTAGTTAGTTTCTTCGAATCAGATGGCACCGATCAGGGGAGGGGGTAATTACCGGGCTGGTGACTGATCAGGATGGATGGGATGGTACCTACCTTGTGGGAAAGGGTTGTTGTTGGGAGAAAAGAACTTTGCGTGTAACGACACTGATAACCTACCTACCTACCTACCTACCTACCTACCTACCTACCTACCTACCTACTTACCTGCCTGCCTGCCTGCTGTACATTGTGGTTTACTCTATCTTGTGCTCTTTTGTGACACTTAGCCAACCAAGAAGAGAGGAAAAGACAAGCGAAGGGGGGGTTGACAGGTGGTTACCTTGAGGTATGCTGTGTCACTTCTCCGTTCAAAATATCTGTCCGGTAGGTAGGCATTACTCAACTGTGTTACCCCCTTCAGCCCCCTTCATCCGAGTTCATCCCATCATCCTCTTGACCGATCTCGGCCCGGTATAACTCTCTCATATTTTACCTATCATCATCATGCCGAAAGGTGGCGGCTTCGGTCCGAAGGTCTTGAGCGCTCACACACTCATGTGAAAAGTCACGTTTGACGGCATACAAACAAACCAACCATCCTACTCGTACCCAGATGTTTCCAGAAGGGGAAACTCAGTCGTAGAGGTCGTACACATACTTGCACATGGGAACAGGCAAGAGTTTGAAGGTGCGGTGGCTTTTGTGTAACTTTGCTGATCGATCCCGTCCCATACATACATCACCAGTTTTCGCTTTCGCTTAATTGTTGACCTCGCCGCCGCCACTGCTTGTGGGGCTTCCGTGAGGTGCCGAGGAGGTGTTTGAGGGCTTGTTGCGAGTCCGCAAGAATTTCGCCCTTGTGCTAAACGTCTTGGGGACCAGGAGCTTGTGTCACCGCAACAATTCTCGTTCGGGTTATGAGGCACTGTCATATTCCCCGGCTTTGTGTAACCTCTCTGGGTTGGTTGGTAACCGGGGTTGTGGCCTTGACATGTTTGTTTCTGGTTGGTTTACACGACGAGTACTTGGGTGTAAGTGGGCAAAGGATTGTCATGGGGAAAAGAGGCTCTGTTGACATTCTAGAAGAAAGGGGGCACAGAACTATGGCACCGGTCCCGCAAAAGATCGGCTGATTCTCCCCTTTCTTCGCCAACTATACAAACTTGAAGTATTGAACTCTTCGGAAGCCGTTCGGCACTCATATCACAGCAAACTTACAAAAGATCGACCTCAGAGGGGATCAAAACGGCCTCCCGCATGCACGGCTGGGGCAAGACCGGGACCGAAATGGGTTCCATGAATGAACGATGACGGATGGTGACATTGTGCGGCTGAATGTGAGAGATCATCATCCTCCTCTCTTCGGAACGTGCTATCTTTTCATGCGTGGGATATGTGTCTGTCCCTTCTGGCAAGAGTAATATGTGTGATACGATATAGCTCGCCCCTTTTTCCCTCACCAATGACAAATCATGCGCCTACCTGGTACAAGATACCTCCGTTGTCTCCTCTCAGTAAGTCCGTCAAGGCCATGTGTCTTAGCCAGACTAGTTTCTCGCTTCTGCATGGGTCTTGCGTTTTCCTTTTCCAAAATGCGGGATGTGATCACACTAAAGGAACCAGCAACATCCTGTTGAACAACAGACTTTGTGTTACATGAACCACGCTGATATACACATGTCAGATCCAACCTTGAAAGGTAACATGGGGGGCTACTACTCAATATATGCACATGGATTAGCCAAGCTTGATAATAATCTGTGTTGTGTCACTCATCAACCGGCAACATCGTGACTAAGGAAACTGTCCATTGAGGCAAAGATCTGTATTATTCTCGGATAAGCAGGCCAAGATGATAATGATGTATTGTGAGAACAGGTGAGAACTCAAACGGTGAGTTGTTGTTCATGCACCTACCCAGCCCGGATGTCAACATGATGAATAAGGGAAGAAAGATATCACAATGGATTTTGTTGCACCTCCTCACATGGATGGGCGAGGTCGTACGTTGTGTAACACCGCTTAAACTGTCCAGTCAGGTAGGTGTGGAGCGAGCCCTGACTGAAAAGCTTCCGAAGAATATGACAGTCTTTTGTGACACACGATGGATGGGGTGTTCGGACATGTGACGGACGAGATTTGTGATGTGAAGGGACACAAGAAAACGCCACCTTTGGCAAGTCCAGCCACTGGAGATATTCTGTGTAATAAACAACGAGCTCAGATGCGAAGACCAAGTTGTACAGACCGTGAACACTTGAAGGACATAGCTATGCACCATCGGACCTCGAGAACCAACAACTCTCCTCTCTTTTACACCACCGACTTGATTAATTACACCCCAAACACTTCACCAATAAAAACCCGTCTTCCGAATCGGGATTTCAAAACCCAGGGTTACCGTCAGACAACAAATACTGATCAACAACCTCCTCCCGTCTCTCAGCCCTATCCCGATCACCAACCAGCAACACGCAACCAACATCGGATGGAACCGAATACACCCACCCAAACCTTCCGAGTCCGAGCTGAAAATGTTATAAATGCGGGCGGGATATTAACCAACACACACACCCCGATTATTCATCTGCACAGACCAACCCAACCCTCACCGAGCCGAGCGCGGCCCCCTCCCCCCCCCACGTAATGTTTTGTTAACCAACCTCACCTCACCGAGGAGCAAATCAAGACATGAAGATCAAAGACAGAACCAACAGGCCCGAGAAAGCAAATGCTGTGCTACCTACATAATAGAAGTGAATAATCAGCACCCCATCCCCCCTCGCATTCCAACCTTCAAAAAGTTTCTTCCTTCCCTTCGATCTCGGATCTTGAGCATAACACTGAAAGGGGTTGTTTGGTTGAATCTCCGAACGGGTCGAAAGATATGCCCCTGAAAAGACAAACAATATACACCCAATCCAGGACGACAACCTGACCTACCTGCGCAGGCAACAACTGGCCACTGCGCAAGCACACAGTGAACTCTACTGATTTGAGGGACAATTTCTCTTAAAATGCTGAGATAGTCGCGAGAGAGGGGATCACACATGTAACAATCTCAACCTCTCAAGGTAGGCAAGGTACTAAAAAAAATAGCCAAAAGACTTTCAAAAGCTTGTCAAAATAAGCCTCGAAGGAACGGTAAAATGGGCACCACCATAAAGGTTCAAAAAGCCTACCTACCACAATCTTTCAACCACTCTAGATGTCTTCAGTCTCCCCACACACAAAAAACCCCTTGTGAAGATATCTTACTACCTCTTGAAAAGCCCCCACCTTTTTCTTATTGTCAAACTCACTCATTGTGCTCAGCATATATGTGTAAAAGCAACCAAGTAAACAAAACACAAACTTTTGCCTAAACAAAAATGGTATATACACCTCCTCCTTTCCTCCCCTTCTGCCGCTAATATTCATCACAAAACCCAATCCTCTTCACAGTGCAATAAAAATCGCAATTTGAGTTACCCTCAAACTGACCCCCCTCTCCCCTAAAGAGAGCAAAAAAGCAAAAGAGACCTCCCTCCCCCCTTCCCCTCTCCCTCAACGTCCCAGTTTCGAGTACAAACCCCCTCACAACTCACCGCCACACCATTCATTACCTCAACACCATTTTTAACAAAACTCACCCTCCCAATCCGGTCCCTTGTTTCCTATCCGGCCATGTCCCAATCCCACCCTCCCACCAAGAAAATCAAGTCCACTTCGAAAAATCCACCGCATCCACCAGCGCCTCCGTATCCCCATTCCCACCCTGCCCATGGTGATGCACCCCATGATCCGTCATCATGGTAGAACTCGCCGCAGTGCTCAACATGCTCGATCGATGCGACCCATCATTCCCGCTCCCCGTCCCCGTCCCCGTCCCCGTCCCAGCCCCAGAAGTCCCCCCACTCAACCCCGTAGCAGCAGTGTTACTCGTAAAAAACGTCGCAACCGACGACCTACGCAAGCTGCTAAAGCTGTCACGAATATTCCCGCTCGCCGGTCTGCTGCCTGCGCTGTTGATGCCAGAGGGGCCCCCGCCACCGCCAATGCTATAGTCCGACAGCATACCCCCCGGCCCGACAGCGCCGGCACTTGCACCGCCGAGCCCGCTCTGCGTTCCTGACACGGGGGCGCTGCTGTTGATGAGCGGTAAGCCACCGGCAGTAGCGGTGGCAGTAGCCAAACCAGTCGACCCGGCAGAGTGCCCATAGTGCGCACTCTTGGGACCGTGTCGCTCGCGTAGTCGATTGATCTCCTGAAGACGGTTCCTCCATGACGAAACATGCTCGCCACCTTCGCGTTGAGACCACACAAGAGAAAACACGGATGCGTTGAGGGCTATCAGTCTGACGAAGCGAGGGAGCGCCTTCAAGCTGATAAGCTTTGGCTCGGCGACTGGGGAGATTTCTGGGAAGCCGGGCCGGTTCATGACTTGGACCTTGAAGAAGGGGGAAACGTGCTGAGCCTCTCCGTCCTGCCGCTTCTGCGCCATCTCTCTCATGGACGAAAACGTCCGCCGCGGTGCGGGGGTGATGACAATGTAGACGTAGTTGAACTGGGAGGGAAAGGTGTCGAATTTGAACGGCAAGCCAGATTCGTTCCAGACAATGCTGACATAGTCGTTCCCAATGTGCTTCTTCTTGTGGTTGCACTGCGGGTCACGCTCCAGATTGGTGGGCATCTGTGTGGTGACATGGTAGACAATCTCGGTGACGCGGTCGCGCCAGCAGTAGGTGTACTGGCCGTCGGTGTCGTACTCGCGGTCCAAGCCTTGGGTGTTGAATGTGGCCCCCTTCAGCTTCGTCAGCACGCCCAAACCCTTGAGAAACTCGAGGTATTCTGGCGAGCCTATCGTGTTGGCGAGGATTTCGGTCTCCTTTGTCTGTCCCTCGCCAACATAAATAACACCGATTTTGTGCCCGTCGACGGTGGAATTCCTGTCAAAAATACGGATGGCTCGGTTCACATTGTCGTCGTCCGGTAACGGAATGGGTCGAATGGCGGGATCGTACATTTGAGGCATTGGTGCGAGCAGCTGCATCAGCAGATGGCTGGGAAAGATGGTGATACCGTGCTGGAAGCGTCCTTCCCAGGCCGATGCATCAGATAGGTCCGCAGCTGGCTGATTAGGCATGGCGGAGAATTCGACACGGATGGCGAACGACGATGTGCCCGACGGATATCGTCGAGTAATCTCAGCCCAGCCCGTTTCTTTAGCCTGCCGAATGGTGACGATGCTGTTTCCGATGATCCAGCGCCTCTTCTGAATCTCGCCGTAGAACTCCTCGGTGAAGAGGGGATCCTGAGCCGAATCGCAAGCATCCGAAAAAGCCACACGCTGCATGAAGTCAAGTGTGACCTGTGCCTGTTCCTCGTTTGTGGCCCTGCCATCCGAATCTACAAACAGGTTCTTGGCGATCCAGTTGATATGACTCGGTCGATCGGGCAGCTTTACCGCAAGGAACCAGAAAGTAATGACATGGTACGCCAGAGCATACACGTACTGTGGCAGATCATCGTTGGCAGCTTGGTGGCCGAGCATCTCTGGGTGGTGTGCTACAACAATACTGGGCGTTGACGGCTCGCTCGAATGACTAGGGCGTGCGGCATGTTGTTTCTTGTCGCGTACTGACTGCAAGTATCTGGCGCAGATGCCGAAGATGATGCGATACTCGTCCTCTCGAAAGTTGGAATACAACGACGGCAGGCGACTGAGGCACGCCAGAAACTCAAGAATGTGTACGGCGACAAGGGGCTGTGTGATGACTTGCGACATCTTTTGCAGAATCGTCACAAGAGCTTTGCTGACAGAGAGAGGTAGCTCGTGGCAGCACACTTGCAAAGCGTGGATGCATGTCTTTGCTGTCTTGTCCGAGATGCCATGCGTGAAAGTCCTGACCATATCGTCCTCGTCCATCTTTTGGAAGTGCTCATGATAACTGAGAATCATGGCCAGCGAGTGAAACAGACAGTTGCTCACATCACTTCGCCGCAAGCCTGACGAAAGGGGGGGCTCTTGAAAGTTGCCGGTCTTGATCATTTCGCAAAAGAACCGTCGAAGCTCGTGGATGTGAGGGATCGCGCCCCTGAAGATGGGATGATTGCTGAGTTGGGCGGGAAGGTGTGCCAGAACAAAGCTGTAAACCTCCCAGTCGCAACCGTTGTGGAAGAGGCTGATCATCGCTTCCAGCCAAGCACCCATATTCAGTACTGCCCTTCCTGTAGAGCCCAACTCGGCTCCAATAGCATCATTCTCGTCTCGGTAGGAAATAAGCAACCAGCTCGGTCTCTCAGGGAGGCTCTCAGGTAGAGCATCTGCATCGGGGACCGACCATAATCTTTGATTCTGATGGACTACGGGCCTTGGGGTATGTGTTTGCCGTGCAGGAAGCCCTTTCTCTCCTGCCTGCCCCTGGGTAAACGATATACCACGAGACGGCCGTGTTGCTGGCTCAGCCCTTGGCAGCCTAGATGGATGTGCGGCATCCTCGGCCAGCTTTCTTGCAAGTGACGCTTCCGTCCTGTAAAGCAAGCCTGCAAGGCTTTCATTCTCAACCTGCGTGGTGATATATATTTGATATTCCGCATCTGCTCGAAGTCGAAAGAGCATCTTCATGGCCGTCAGTCGAGCATCAACCTCACATGAATTAGAACGGGCAATGTGAACCAGGGCAGCAAAAGCCTTGGATGCTTTGGAGCCATCGGTGTTGAGTGTTCGGATGAAAATCTGAACATAACCTCTGGTGACAACGTTGGAGAGGCTCTGGTTCGCAAAGTAAACGGTCTGACCTGGAGGGAAGGAACTGGACTTTGGCGACGCCAACAAAGCCAAGGGTGACCTGGACATTTCCTTTGCAACCACCTCCCTCAGACCTCCTATGATGTCATCAAAAAGACTGCCATCTGCAGTTTGCGAGACCTTCACGAGGAACGTAACCGTGTCCTGAAGAACCAGTGTGTTCGTTTCTTCGCTCATACCAGAGAGCAGCCGGCGCACGAGGTCGCCAAGAGCGTCCTCTTCCATGAGATCTTGTGTGAGAGAGAGAAAGTCGTAGACTTCGATGATGATTTCCAAAGCGTGCAACCGCGTCAGCGGATCCCGGTGTTGGGCCAGGAAAAAGCCATCCATGATTATGTCAAGATTCTTCTTCCACTCCACGTCTGATGGGAAGCAGCTCCTGTGATCCTTGAAGTAGGCGATGACGAGACCCGCAGCAGAATCTGGAAGGGCCAAGTACACCTGGCTCAGGAATTGCATGCACTCATCTCGTTGCAGCAGGTCGGATGTTTGGGTGAGTAGGTTTTCGATGCGGGTGATGAGGCGTCTCAGCTGCCCGGTAACGGGGTCCTCGGCTTCTGGTACTTGCCGCGGCGAAAGGAGTGATTCCGAATCTGGGGCAGTGAAGGGGACTGCCTGTGTCCCACACTGGGCAGCAACCTCGAAGATGGAGGACCAGTGCTCGTCTCTGACCATCGAACTGATGTTGTTGCGCGCGTCGTCGAATAATGAGTTGATTAACTGCAGAGTATCAGCGGCTATTTTGGTGTTGCTAGACCTAGCAACATTGGCCAGGCCGTCCACCAGAAGCGCAAGGGACACAGGGGGGTACCCCTTTTCGGCCGATTTGTGAAGGAGCTTCTTCAGTACCGAAAGGGCGCCTCGAATCTCTCTGTTCAACTCCTGCTCCTTCTCCTTATCGTCTGGGGCCGCATAAGTTCGCAGAATGTCCAGCAATATCCTGACCGTGGACTGCCCATGGTGCGATCTGCAAATAATGGAGATGGTGTGCCATGACTGTTTCTGCAGGTGAGGCAACTGTTGGTGTATCGTTCCGAGGACTTTGATACAGTCTTTGAGCTTGCCGTTTGGAATGGTCCCGAACGTGACGAGCGCTTCGATCACGTTGATGCATGCTATCAAATCATCCTCCGATGCCGTTTTTCTACAAATATTGAGCAGCTCGCTCATCAAATCCCCAACCACTGGGTCCCTGGCGAACTTGAAGTTGAATTTGATCACGTCCCTCAGAAGCACAAACAGCTGGGAGAAGTTCTTATCTTCGCCTGCTGCGGCTGATTTCCCTTTGCTAGACCCCCCATTCCCTCGCAGTGCCCTTCTACGAGCCTTTCTGACGATTTGGTATGTCTGGTGTAGCCAGGAAATAAGTAACGGGAATATGTCGTACGGGAACCCGGTGATATTGCGACCTTTTGTAGTGAGATCTTCTAGAGCAGCGAGCTGAAGGTGAAAGTCTGCTCGGTTCGCAGGTGCTGTGAGGGTTTCAAAATACTCGCGGCGCTCCAGCTCGCTGGCAGCTGTGTACTTTGCGCACTCGGTAAGAAGCTCCCAGCCAATCTGTCGGGCGTTTTCTGGATAGTTTTCGTTGATCAGGTCTTTGCCGGCGTACCATATGTCGAGTACCTAGCCAACGACGTCAGCAACCGGGCCCCGACGGCTTAAGGAGGCACATGGGGAACACATACAGGATTCAGTGGAAAATCCCTTATTGCGTAACGAAGCGAAGTTGCCGCAGCTATCCTCTCATTCAGATGACCATTCCTATTCTTCAGCTTTACATATTGCTCAACCTGGTCGGGGGCAAGCCCTCGAAGGGCCGTCGGGAGTGGGCTGTCATCGGCATGTTTCGTCGACGGTGAAGGCTGTGCCTGGGCAGCGGCGATGGAACCGAGGGACTGAAGTGAAGGTGGTGGTGATTTTGTAAGCCTGCTGCCGCCGGCCAGTCCCTTAAAGACACCGGCAAGGCCTCCGGTGATCCTCTCCGGGGGCTGGTCGTCTCCGGGAGAGGGGGACATGGGTAGCTGGTCCTCCGAGGCCGAGTGGCCTAGAGACGCTAGTCGGCGCAACATGTCAGTATACCGGCATTCTTTGTAGCGGCAACGACGCAGAACAAGCAGGACAGATAGAAAAGATCAAAAAGCAGCAAAGACAAGAGGAACACTCGTAGTGTCTGTCGTCCGACGCCAAGACCAGAAACTCGCAAGGCAGTGGTTTAGCCCTGCAGGAAGCTTGCAGGAGCCGCATGCAGGCTCAGAAGTCCGGGGCGGGGGAGGGCGATCGAAACACGGCGGGAGCGAGAGCTGTGAATTGTCGGGTTCCCTCAACATGACATGGCCATGGCCTGACGGGAGGGTGTGGTCAGGTCGGGGGCGGCCTAACTTAAGGGGGAAAGTCGCAAGAGATGTCGAGACATGTTCGTCTAGAAATAACCCGGAAAACTCTCGAGACAGGACAAGACAAGACATACGTTCGACTTACACGTAATGTGCTAATCGCAACAGGAAGAGGCAGGTCACAGAGACACAAGCCAGCGAGGGGAGCTGTCCCCCTCCTTGTCTATCTCTTCCCACCCTCCCTCACTTTCAATCGGGAATCGGGGCTGGTGACTGGTCCTCCACACTCTTCACGCCACCAGCTGGGGGGCACATGCGCCAACGTCCGGAAGGGTGCAGTCGGGAAGCTGTGTGATGGTGTTTCAGCTGGCGGGATGGTCTGGCCTTTGTGATGTGTGATTACTCGCTTTCTATGATTGGAATAACGTTGGAAGATGGACTTGCGGACTGGCGGACTGGCGGACTGGCGATCACTGGCGGACTCCTGAAAAATCAAGCTACCGGTCAGTGGTGTTCTTGGGGCAGCGATGACGGAACATGGCCCAGTGAAACCCACTGGTGGCAGCGATTGGATGGACCCCACGATGAGCTGGGGGGGGGGTTGACGGCTGCGTGTTGACCCGCCCGAGCCAATCACACCTTCCTGGCTTGCAGGACGACCATGGAAAAAAAAATGGAAAAAAAAAGTGATATGGAAAACTGAGATTTTCTGTCAAGTTTTGCAGAGAGCACTGTGGCACTGTTGTTTGTGTCAGGGAGAGACGGTCCGGTGCTCCATGGTCAAAGAATAGATCGAGCAGGCTATAGAGAGAATGATGACTAAAAGGCTAATGGAGATAGTTTGCGTCTTATGCAAGTTCCATCACAACGAATGAGAAAGAGACGAGGTTCGTTTGATAGAGGACGATAAGCCGTTATCATCGTCTTTCCCAGAGCTTCCTTCCCCACTATTTGGAGGGCCGACGGCAAGTACCGCACGCACCCCGCTACCTAACAAAGTCCCTGAGCCTCTGAGGTGGCCCGTGGCCTTGCGCCAGCCAAGGCTCTGATAATTTTGGATACCAGGCGGAGGCTGCCAGAAGACCTTCTCCCCCACCATAACTCTGGCAACCGTCAACCGCTTTTTCAGGTGTTTTTGTTTTGCTTCCAAAATTGAAGCCACTGCCACATACACGTCGTCATATTGCTTGCAACCTCCCAACACACATCTCACCCATCACAAGTAGTACAAATACCACGAGAACGACGAAGCAGCTGCCAAACATGGCGACCGACCTGGTGCAGATCGCTCAGCTGCTTAACCTGACACTGGATGCGAAGCAGCACCGCAAAGGTAGGCATCAATCACATAGCAAATTCCCGCTCCGTGACCGCTCAGACTAACTTTTGTTTCTCTTTTCCTCCTTTTCAGCTGAGGCCGAGCTCAAGATTCTATCAGAACAGCCCAACTATTCCCTGTCCCTTCTCACACTCGTCCACGATGCCACGAAACCAACCCAGACCCGCCTCGCGGCAGCCCTTGCCTTTAAGAACTTTATCCGCCACAACTGGGTAAACGAGGATGGATCCCACAAGCTTGCTGCGAACGAGGTCGAGACCATCAAGAAGGAGATTGTCGGCATGATGATTGAAGCCCCCAGCCAAATTCAGGCCCAACTGGGCGAGGCCATCTCGACCATTGCCGATTCCGATTTCTGGGAGCGCTGGGACACCCTTACCCAAGATCTTGTTAGCCGCCTTTCTCCAACGAGTTTTAAGCAAACAAATGGCGTTTTGGAGGTTGCACACTCGATTTTCGGTCGGTGGCGCCCTCTGTTCTCGAGCAACGACCTGAACCGCGAAGTGTTGCATGTGGTTGGTGTGTTTGGCGACCCCTTTATCCAGATGCTGGGCATCGCCGACCAGCAAATTGGGGCCAACTCGGGCAACGAGGCCGAGCTCAGGGGTTGGCTTACCACGATGAGTCTCCTTGTTAAGATCTTCTACGACCTTTCGTGCCAGGACCTACCACCAGTCATCGAGTCGAACCTGCAGTCCATCACCGTGCTCCTCCACAAGTATCTCAGTTACACCAACCCAATCTTTGATGGCGAGGAGGACGATCCCACGCCACTCGAGAACCTCAAGTCAGACATCTGCGAAGTTCTTCAGCTGTACACAAACAAGTACGACGATGACTTCAACCCATATGTCCAAAAGTTCACCCAGGATGTGTGGAACGTGCTCTCCAGCGTTGGGCCCGAGAAGAGATATGACATCCTAACTTGCCAAGCGCTTAAATTCCTTACCGCTGTGGCTTCAGTGTCTAGGCACGCACAGATTTTCAGCGACGAGGCGACACTGGGTACAATTGTTGAGAAGGTCATTATCCCAAATGTGTCTCTCAGAGAATCGGATGTTGAAATGTTCGAGGACGAGCCGATCGAATTCATCAGACATGATCTGGAGGGCTCCGATACCGACTCGAGAAGAAGGGCTTCGACCGATTTTCTCCAGAAGCTGCTCGGAAACTTTGAGATGCTGGTGACACAAGTGGTCTTCAAGTACATCAACCATTTCCTCGAGCAAGGAAAGAGTGACTGGAAGGCCAAGGATACCGCTGTGTATCTCTTCCTCGCCATCGCTGCCAAGGGTGCCGTCACGGCATCTCACGGTGTCAAGACGGTCAACAGCCATATCAATGTGGTGGAGTTTTTCACCCAACATATTGCTGGTGACCTTGTTGGTGGGGACTCGCATCCTATTGCCAAGGTTGATGCCATCAAGTACCTCTACAACTTCCGCAGCCAGCTTGACAAGGCCCAGTGGGCCGCTGCTATGCAGCCACTCATCCAGAACCTGGGTTCAGACAACTATGTGGTCTACACTTATGCGGCCATTGCGGTCGAGAGAGTGCTTTACCTGACGGACGATTCCGGCCAGCACATTTTCCCTCGGGCTGACATCCAGCCCCATGCCAAGGAGCTCTTGGAACACCTCTTCAGTCTTGTTGAAAAGGACGCCTCGCCAGCAAAGTTACAGGAGAATGAGTTCTTGATGAGGTGCATCATGCGCGTTCTGATCGTTCTCAAGGAGGGGGCGGCCGAGTGTGGTATCAACAATATTCTCACTCACCTGAATGGCATCACCAATATCATCAAGCAGAACCCCAGCAACCCGCGCTTTTACTACTATCACTTTGAGGCCATGGGAGCCCTTGTCAGGTAGGACTTTTTGGTTTCTTGACTGCACTGGACTGAAATCGCTAACTTGTAACAGATACTGCAGTAGTCTGCCTCAGGTCGACCTTATCAGCCGCCTGTGGGAGCCGTTTGCATTGATCCTCACCGAGGATGTGTCCGAGTTCATCCCCTTCGTCTTCCAGATCTTCTCGCTTCTTTTGGAGCTCAACCCAACCGCGCAGATTCCAGGCGATTTCAAGGCTCTTTTGGAACTTGTGCTTACCCCGACTCTATGGGACACCAGAGGCAATGCGCCCCCTCTTTCCCGGTTCCTTGCGGCCATCATCCCCAAGGCCGCCCAGGCCATTGTGCTGGAGAACAAGCTGGAAGCCGTACTCCTCATCTTCCAGCGTCTTTTGGCCAGCAAAAAGACGTCGCAGAATGCCTTTGACATCATCGACTCCGTCGTGACCACATTCCCTGCGTAAGTGCCTAACTCCAGTTCGAATGATTCAAAAAGGCTAACCTCGTTGCTATAGTGAGGTGTTGGAGCCATTCTTCACCAATGTGGTCGGCCTTGTCTTCGACAGCGTCCAGAAGCACCCTAGCGATTCGCACAAGCTCCGTGTAGCGCGTTTCTACCATCTCGTCTCGGCCAAGCCAGGGCTCGGGGCCGACTTCTTCATCAAGCACGCCGACGCCGTCCAGGCAAACGTTTTTACTCCTTTCTACCTGCAGGTTATCCGACCCACCACTGCCTTGTTCGCCAAGCCGGTGGACCGCAAGCTGGCTGTTGTTTCTTACACCAAGACGCTGTGCGAGTCCGAGGCCTTTGCCACGCGCTACGCCAAGGGCTGGGGCTTCACCTGCACGAACCTGCTGGACCTCCTCAAGAACCCACCCAGGGTTGCTGCTGGTCTTGGTGACGAGCTCCTTGTTGAGAACGATGTGGACGACATTGGCTTCGGCATTGGTTTCACGCCTTTGAACACGTGCAAGCGCGGCCCCACGGATGCCTACCCCGAGATCACTGAGATTGAGAAGTGGGTCGGACAGTATGTCAAGGAGGCGAACGCGAAGACGAACGGGCAGATCACGCGGTTTGCTCAGGAGAGGCTGGCTCCTGAGGCCCAGCAGTTCTTTGCGCCTTATCTGGCTTAAGGGGGGGTCAGCATGGGGAGAAGAGGAGGCGGTGATTATGTATGTTGAGGGGAGTGTTTGGCGTTTGGGAGCAGCATTGGAGGTAAACAATTGATGGGCATATTTGTTGGTATTGCTTTGGGGGGGGGGGGGTAATGTTGAGCGGAACAGAGCTCGAGACCAGACAAAAGAAGATAAAAAGGGGTGGGGAATGAATACATTTTGATGGCAATGGCAAAGCGATGGATGGAGTTTTTGATGATGGGGTGTAGAGTGATGTTTGAAGAAGTTCTATATATGATGGCTTTTTGTTAGATGGTAAACATGATATTACCAAAATACCGCTTCTTCCACGCCACCCTTGATTCTCAGGCAACAAAGGTCTTTATTTTCACTTTCTACAGATGTCGTTTGGTAGGACTCGTTCTTTTCGTCCCGTCGCTTGCTTGTCCTAATCACCGAGCTACGGTCGACTCAGCGGCACAGCTGTAGCCTATCAACACCCGATCTGCAAAAAGATGTGTTTCAAGGACTTCTTTCAAACGTCCACTAATCTGCCACTAATAGTTAGCAGCATTTGGCCCCCAGCGCCCCCGCAGCGGGCATCCTTCTTCAATCTCCATTTTCCAGCCCTGTGGTTTGAACTGCTGGGACCCCTGTTTGCGTCGACAGCTCAACGGCGGCTGGTCTGCGCCCTCCCTGGGGAAACATCTTTCTCTCACCTAGCACCACTACCCCTCCTTTTTTTTCTTTCTTTATTTTAACCTTCTTTGTTTCTCTCCCTTTCGAACCTGACTACGGTTCAAGGTCTGTATACTCACCACGCGATTGATTGATTGATCCTCGGTGCGCGCAACAATGGGCTTCTTCTCGCGCATAAAAAAGAACAAGTCGCTTGATGGTGGTGGTGGTGGGGCGGCGCATTACGATCCTAGGTTCAGCAATGACCAAACGACAACACCACGATCCAACAGTTATGACCCGAGAGACTACCAACTATCCTGCTCTGGGTTCAGGGCCATGGTGACGGGCAATTCCCGGGGATTGATTGCCCAACTGCCCGAGGGGGTGCTACGGCGTATCTTCGGACTGGTGTGCCCCCATGCCAGGGACGAGAGCTACGAGACGTTTGAGGGGAGCGCAATGATGATTGTTGGGGGGGAAGAGGAGAGGTGCATGCTTTGTGACATGAGGGATTTGGCGCATTGCGTTGGGGTGTGTAGACGGTGGAGGGGGGAGGGGGTCAAGGTTTTGTATGTGTCTCCCTTCATTGCACCACAGGACAATGCTGATATTCTGGTTGGCGGGGGGGTTGAAAAGGTATCATAGTATACGACTCGATCCGGTGCATTACTGCCCTCTGGAACCGATACTTTCTGATCGAAGAAAACGCCGCTCTTTTTTTGACAGGAATGGCTCGCCGGAGGATCCGTGTTTGATGAGGCTGAAGCTGCTGTGTCGGACGTTGAGGGAGGACCCGGTTAGGAGGGGGGCGTTGGTGAGATATCTCAAGATGCCGTACATGCTTAGGGAAGCGGCGCAGGCGGATTTGGCGAGGACGATTGCGGTTACGCCGGGGTTGAGATATGTTGATTTACCAGAGGGCTTGTTTACCGACGAGCCGGGGTTTGTGACGTTGCGGCTGGAGGTCCAGGCGAGGTGTTTGGAGTTGAGGAAGATGAGCTACATGCGCGGGAGCGAGAACTCTTTGCAGGCGCTGGCGACGGGGAGGGTGTGGACGAGGCTGGAGGTGTTGGAGCTGAATAGGATGGGGATGGACGGGGGGATGTTGAGGTTGGTGTTGGGTGGGTTGGGGGGGTTGAAGGCGCTGAAGATGTCGGAGATGGATGTCGGGGATGAGGTTTTTTCGAGTGGGTGGGAGGAGCAGCTGCCTCCTTTTCCGGGGACGATCGAGGAATTGGTTTTGACCGACTGCAAGAATATCACTGGGGATGGCCTGAGGTCGTGGCTATCCACCTCCCCTGAATCACGAGAGCGGCTCCGGGTGCTGACCCTTAACAACACTGGTGTCCGCGTTTGGGGGCTACACTCGATCATATCCCTCGCTCGCGGATTGAAACACCTCTCCATCGTCGAAAGGGTCACCGTCGCCATGCCTTCCTCTCCAGACCTCCAACCCCTCAGGAGCACCACCCTCGAAACCCTCCGCTACGAAATCACCTCCGCGACCCCAACCAAGAAATACGGCTCCCCACCACACAACTCCTCAAGCATAACCTCATCCTATTACACCTACCTGGCCACCTCCCTCCTATCAGGCGGCCTGCCACAACTCCGCTCCGCCTACGTAAGGGACACCACCTTCCCCGACCTCCTCCTCGGCCTACCGCCTCTCCCTTTACCCTCCTTTAGTTCCTCCCCCGCCCGACCAGGCAGCTCCTCCTCCATAACACCCTTTTCGTCATCCCCATCAAGACCCGCCAATTTCGGTGGTCTCCCCCCCTTACAACCCGGCTCCTCACTACCCAACTCCAACCCCTTCACCCCCGGCCACCGCCCGCAAGGCAGCCTGTCCAGCCTCTCCCCCTTTGGTCAGAACCAACAACAAACCAATCGCTTCAGCAGCAACAACCCCTTCACCAGCCTCACCACCGCCCACAACGCCTTCCTCAACCTCCCCGCAAAGCTGGAAGTTTTTACAAAATCCGAAGAGGACGACGCGCTAAACTGGAATTTTGTCCGCATCGGCGGCGGCGGTGGCGGCGGTGGGAGACAAAACAAGGGGGAGAGACCACTAAGCAGTTACGGCTTGGGTGCTGATATCTTGGGTGACGCAGGCGGTTGGAGCTCTGGTGCCGGGGCAAGGAGGAGCGTGCTTGTTGGTGGGAGGGGGGAGG